ATTCTATGCTTCCTCACCACCCCACTGAGCTGTTATGCAAACGTTTACCCTTCCCGCCTTGGCATTTTTGATTCCATAAATTAATTTCTCCCTCCGTTTTTTCTTTTCTTTCTTTTTCTCGCCTAGATAGTATTTCTACACCTGTTGAGCAGTAAGCCCCTGCGCAGTGCCTATGCAGCCCATAAGCAGCCGCGGCGAAAGCACTGCGACCCCCCGTGCGAAACCACTATGTGAAAAGAACAAAGAAAACAAACACGATCGTCTTTCCGCACATGCTGCATGTACATAGGAGCCAGTTCGACAGAGCGGTACCTACCAAACCACGCAGCATCGCCATGTGAAATGTGTTAAACCTCCCCTTTCGCAGTTTACCCCAACGTGTTCTTCTGCCCCCCAAGCGTTTTTTTCAAAGTACACCTTTAGCTCCCCACTGGGACGTACAACCCTGGGCTGAAAACGTCGTAGTTGCGGCTGCCCATCGGATTGTGCCCGTCAGCTTCGGCCCATCAGCTTCGGCTCATCAGCTTCGGCTCATCATTTTTCGAAAGGAGAAATAGGTAGACCCCCCGGCGAGTAATGACCTGTGTAGCGATGGAGTATAGAGCCTCCAAAACAGCAGAGTGCATACATTGTGTGGACGTCTGCGAAGAATTGACCTGATGACGCATTGCTTCTTCTTCTTCCTGCCCCTACCTAGGTGTAGACCCAAAATGAGCTCACAGAAGGAAAGCAAGAAACGCAAATCGGACGCACTGGACCAGGCGTGCCTGGAGCTGAGCGAAGAAGTGGAGAACGCGGAGGAAGTCATAAAGAAAAATGAGGAAATAGAAGAAGAAGATCTGGAGATACAGTTCAACAATTGGAAGGTTAACAGCGGATTGCTCTACGACTTTGTCAGCAGAAAGGAATTAGAATGGCCATCACTCTCCATCGATTTTGGAGACTTTCATAATGAGAATGATGAAGATAATGTGTTTAATCAGATCGTGTGCGTAGGAACACATACGTCGAATAAAGAGCCCAACTACCTGTACGTGTGTGAAGTGCTGTTCCCTCTGGTGCAGCTCCCACAAGAGAACTGTATTTACAAAACGAATGAAAACTACGAAGGGTTTGATTTCTGTTCTGATAAGAAGAAGTTTACCATCCAGTCGAAAATCGCACACGAAGGAGAAGTCAACCGAATCAAGTTCCTCCCCCTGGAGAAGAAGAACATTGTTGTCACCAAAGCGATCGATGGGAATCTTCACCTCTTCGATATCAACAAACACAAAATTGAAACAAGTGAAGATAAAATGAACCCAGAAGTCTCCTTCATTGGAAACTCTTCCGATGGATTCGGCCTCGATTTCAATTCAGACAAGAAATATGCCTTAACCTGTGGAAATGATGGACTGCTAAATCTCTACGATTACACCGAATTGAGTAGTAAACAAACGAGCCCTTTCTATAAAGTGAAATATAAGTCTCCACTGAATGATGTGTGTGCAACGAATGATCCCAATTTGATCTTGGCTTGTGCTGATAATGGCTACATCTTGATGTACGACATTAGAGTCAAGGGAGAAGAACCCGCCCAACAGGTTCTAGGACAGCAGGTACCCGTTAACTGCATCTCGTTAAATAAGTTCACTGGACATTTTGCCTCTGGAAGCGACAATGGAAAGATCAAAATATGGGATATTAAACAGTTTAGTGAACCTCAGCACATCATCCATGCACATAAGGAGCCCATTATCCGACTCAACTTCTCTCCTAATGATTCGTCTATCCTCGCCTCTGCTAGCACTAGTCGCTTCATCAATATCTACAATTTGACCAAAATTGGAGAAGAACTGGATGCCATTGACTTGTCCGATGGTCCATCGGAGCTGATTTTCTCTCATGGAGGACATACACAGCCGATTACCGACTTCAACTGGAATCACCACAAGCAGCTCAAGATGTTCATAGGCTCCACTGGCGAGGATAACACGCTGCAGTTCTGGCAACTCAAGACGGAGCTCCTGGACGAGGCCAACACCGTCCCGACGTCCAACACGGACGTGGAGTGATAGGCAGTTTGGATATATGCCGGTGCTGCGATGTGGCGAGTGTCGGGGGGGACCTCCCTCTCCTGCCTCGTAACCATCGCCTGGATCCGTACAGTTTACCTTGTGTCGGTCACGTGGCCATCCCTCGCGTCCATCTCCACGAGGGATTTTTTTTTTCTTTTTTTAACCCAACGCACGGTTACTCCTCGTCCCCTTCAACACACTTTTCGCGTCACCAAAAAGGGAATCCCTCCCCCGAACGGTGAGTGTGTGTGTGCGTTTAACTGATTAAACTGAGCAGTGCGTAGAATCAAAAGAGACCTTCATAAAAAGTGTTTCCACATAGGCGATAGGAAGCCCACTGAGCTCGCCACGGAAAAAGGTTTCCCTCTGACCTTTATCGGCAGTGAAGAATTGACAGAGCGGAGGCGGGTTAACCAATCGGGTGTCGCTTAACCAAGCGGAGTTTCTTTTTTGTTTTTCTCTTTCCAAGGTGTGCTAAGAAAGCGAAACCAAACATGCTCACGAAAAAAGGCGCGTGGCAAAAAAAGGGGGGGAGGAATCAGCCGGGGAAAAACCGCTTCAAATGTATTGCCCCCTCACATACGGACTGGAACGAAAGGACAGAATGAGCTTGCAGCCATTCTTTCCATCTCCCCATGTGCAAAGGCGGTTATATATCTCTCCCCCTTTTCGCCCTCAGAAAAGGAACAAAGAAAAAAAAAAAAAGCTACTCCATGTGCTTCTCAATAAAGGACGCGAATCGTTCTACGGGGAGGGAGAAAAAAGAAAAGGCAGCGTTGTTTACGTCATCAGGAAGTATCCCAAACGGTAGCCCAAACGGTAGGGCGAAGGTTTCCCTCCCTGAGTAAGTAAAAAATCCTACCTGCATAGGCGTTGGGGTGGACACAGGAAATGTTCTGGCGGTCAAATTTCCTGCACAAGGGGGTGAAAGGGTTACATGGGCGGATTGGAAAAGGAGTTACGTGCGCGGAGTGTCAACGGGGTTACGTGCGCGGAGTGTCAACGGGGTTACATGCGCCGATTGGCAAGGAGCCCACGTGTGCCGATTAACACCGCGGTTGGTACACGATCACATTGGCAACAGAGTTGCTACCAGGGCGTATGCATGGTATATATAGTTTCTTTTACGCCCCCGCGATCGGCTTCTTTCTCTCATGCCCGGGGGGGCTGTCCACGGTTGCCGCGTCCGACACGTACTGTATTGTTCGAAAGCTGTGCTCGAATTTTTTCTTTAGCCTGAAGTGTCGAGAGGGAGGAAAGTAGATGGGTGCATATGAGGAGGCGTGCATATGGTCAGGGGTGTATATGATTAGACATGCATATGATCAGCCGTGCATAGGAGGAGGTGAGTAAAGGTACCCCGCCCTTCCTTTGTCAGCATAGGGAGAGCTGCTCTCTCGCCACAGCTTAGCGGCTGTCCTGCTCCTCCTTACGTCCACTTGGTGAAAATGTCGATGATCCCAAAGAAGAAAATTTTGTTCTTGTCGATGCTGATCATGCCTCCGTGGTCGCACTGGCGGGGGGAAGGGGGTGGAAGCGTAGCCACGTTGTAAGTATAGCCACGTTGGAAGCGTAGCCACGTTGGAAGCGTAGCCACGTTGGAAGTGTAGCCACGTTGGAAGTGTAGCCACGGTTGAAGTACAACCGCGTAGTGCTTACAATCGCGTCCAACTGGAAGACACACCTCTAAAGGGTCCTCCCTCTAAAGGGTCCTCCCTCTAAAGAGTCCTCCCTCTAAAGGGTCCTCCCTCCAAAGGGGGATGAAATTTCCCCACACAAGGTGAAACGCACCAGGTGGCAAAAAATCGACTCGCAGAGCGCTCAACGTGCATCTATACCTGATGGAAGGGCCGGGCCGAGATGCATTTTCCCTCCTGATCAAATACATGTCGAACCTCATTTGTGCGACTGTCATTCCAGCTAACTAAATCTCGAGAGAATTCTTTGTAATGGATCCCAAAAAGAAGGGAATAATCAAGGAGGTAATTTTGTTTTAAAAATTCTGCATCTGCCTTTATGACTTTGAGCAGTTTCTCCTTGTTCTTTTCTCCGAGGGTAATTCTGTCACCCAGTTCGTCTATGTCTACGTCCTTGAGAGCGATGGTGTGGTCTTCCCTCTTGGCCGGGGGCACCGTGCGCCCCACCAGGCTCCCCTTGATGTCGTACCTCCTGTGGATTTCCACGGCCGAGGAGAAGAAGTTGTTCATCACGATGAAGTAGATCCTCTTCGAGCTTCCTGCGAGGGGGGTAGCAATTTAGGGTTAGAAATTTAGGGTTAGCAATTTAGGGTTAGCAATTTAGGGGTAGCGGCTTAGGAGTAGGGATTGCCCGTTTCGCCGCTTCCCACGAGACGTACTTCCCGATCCGCTTTTATATTTTATGCAGTGGATTCCATAGAGGCGGGTGAGCAAAGAGTCTGGGTTATTCCTGATGTGCTCGTAATACTTCGGCAACAGGGCTTTGGACAGACTGTGGATGCTTTTGGAGACCTGCAGGTGGGCGTGAAGCGGTTACACGGTTAAGCGGCTGCCAGCTGAGGAGTTACGCGGAAGTGAGCCGTCCTCTGCCGCTTCTTCACCGCCGCAACGCTCCCCTCAATACCCTTACCGTCTTGATGATATACTTCCCATTGCTGGTAAAATAAAAGAGCGAACCGCTCTTCCCCTCTGAGAGTAACTCGCTCAGCGTAGAGAGGTTTCCCAACACCATGTTACTTATCACTTGCTCCGGTCCAACAGAGGAAATGTATTCCTTGGATCTTATTCCATACATATTTCGAATCTGCTTAAAAATCACCGGCGCGTAATTTTTAAAGACAACTCTATTCCGTGCATTAGATGTGGGTAACTCAAGAAGGTCCTTGTGTCGGAACAAATCCCTAATCCCACTGGTGTTATACACCTTAATTGCTGAGAGGCGAATGCCAATCATCATATTCATCACTAGATCCCATCTTTCATGTCCAAAGTAGACAGCCAAAATTTTCTGAAGGTTCCTTTTTTTCTTCCTCTGTCTCAAAGAGACGGACAATTTCCCTCTGCTGAGCCTACGATAGTAATTAGACTTATTAATATATATCTTCCTATTTCTGTTCTGTCCCTTGGAGTAGGTTGCGAGGAGGTGGCTCGTATGACTTAGAAGGATACTCACTTGATTCATGCTGCGGACGCAGCTACTCTCCTCGATGGAGTCGTAGGACGATGGACACTTCTGCGAAATTGTTATCGTGTGGAGGAAATACTTCACTATCTGAGTTACGAGCAAAACGTTGTAGTAGATATTGGCCCTCAGATTCTTTGTGCTCATTTGGGACTCGTTGCTGGGTTCTTCTCTGTACGGGGGGTGGGAACACACACCTGGGTTAGCAGTGTGGCCACATGGATCTGCCCGATTGGGATGGCTTGACTGATTGGGTTGATTTGGCTGATTTGGCTGATTGGGCTGATTTGGCTGATTTGGCTGATTTGGCTGATTGGGCTGATCGGGATGACTTGCCTCGTTCGCCTCATTCGGATGACCACTGTGCACGGGCCCCCCCCCCTCCTCCTGGGCATCCCCCCCCAAGTGATACTTAAACACGTGGAAGAAGAAGAAGAAGATGCGGTTGTAGTCGCCACCCCCATTCCGCTCCCTGCTCAGATAATCCTTCGTAGCCACGACGATGTTCCCTAAGTGATACAGCACCTGCTCTTTGGTCAAATCTTTATTCACCATGACGTAGTGGCAGTTGCTTGTTGGAATATAAAACTTCTTCCTAATGACATCGCTGCTGAAGTGGAGCAGCACCTTCGACTGATTGGCATCTCTGGTAGCACCCTTTCCTCCCTTACCCCGGTTTCCATACATGCGGTCTTCACAACTGGGAGAGTTAACCACACAGGAATCATTGCTACTCATCATGAGACCATTGTGGCTGTGAGAAATGGGACACCTGGAGTGCTCCAAAAATTCTTTGTACTCAAAATACTTCTTGCAGAGGTACTTTGCGTTCTCCACTGCAGCGGTGGCATCTTTTGCAGCCTCCCCGGCAACCGTTGCCACGGCAACCGCTCCCACTGCACCCTCTTGGCTGTGGTTCCTCTCACGGCTGCTGGCATCACGTTTCTCACCGCCCTTAACTTCAGATTTACCCTTTAGGGTTATCCCACCATCTGCATGGTCTCCCTGTTCACTACCTGCACTGTCCTCTCCTTCTATATCTTCATATGCACTGCTCCCCCCTCCGTCGTTAAATTGGCCATCCTTGCCCCCTTCTTCCACCTCTTTCTCAAGTTCTTCCTTCCCATCCGAGTAAGTGTCCAAATCAAGTGAGTATCCTTCCTCCTGCTCCTCCGCAAACTTTCTATACCCCTTCACATACTCGTTGTACTCCTCCACGTATGTTTTGTTTTCTTTTTTTTTTTCAAATCTGAGGATTGCCTTCAAGATTTCACATTCGTATTTCTCCATCCCATGGTAAGTCTGATCGGATGGATCCATCTTCAGTGCATCCTTTTCGTTGCCATCGGTATTGTCTCGCCTCGGAGTTACGGTGCATCTGTAGGGGGAGCCACCATGGGGGGAACGGCTAACCGGGCTGCTAACCGGGCCGCTACCCCCGCCGCTACCCGCTTCGCTGGAGGGGGTACTCGTTCCGCTGGTCAGCTCCCCCCCTGCGATATCCACCGCCCCCGTTCCGTTCCTCCAATCCAACGGACACCCCCCCTTTCTCAGAGTCACCACCTCTACATCGGAGTGGTCATTCCAAACGTGCGAGCTGCTCTCCGATGGCTCGTAATTTTCCCGTATTCCGTCCCCCCTGTTCCCGCTCTCTTCCATCATCACGTTGTTATGGAAGCTGGAAGAGGGACACGATTGTTGGTAGGGGTTGTTTCGTTCACTGCAACTGGCTTTTCTCGAGGCATCTTCGATGCCACACTTCGCCGTTTTTCTTCCCTCGGTCGTCATCATCGGTGAGTCATTTGGAGCACCCCCCTTCGATACATCTCTGATTGGCCCATTTGGATTGTCCTTCCTATTACGGGCGTTACTGCTCCCCTTTTTCGGACATTCCCCTTTCTTCTTCTGCTGCTTCTGCTCTTGCTTCGCCACTTCTTCCCTCCCGCCTGTTGGATCCATTCCTCGGGGTGCCTGCGAAGCCCCCACACCAGCGGCGACACAAGATCGGCTCCTAGACCCATCACCACCACGGGGCACATTCAAAAAATTACGTTTCCCACTTAACTCCTTTCCTGACATACGGACGGTCGACTCGAATAGGCCGTCCCGTTTGGCTGCCGCTTCTCCTTCTGAGGAGATGCTTGACTGAATGACGATGCTCTTTAGGGGTGCACAACGTTTGTCCTTGTCTCTGAGTCGGGGGCCGACGGGGCTTCTTCCTTGACAGTTCCTCCTCGCATGATCCGCGTGGTGCACACGATGAGCATCCTTTGGAGCGTCCTTCGGATCGCCACCCCCACCGCCGCTGTACCCGCCACTATACCCTCCGCCGGTCCCCCCCTCGACGCTGCTTTTCTTCTTCCTCCCTCGAGTGAATAGAGACGAGGCGGAGCCTTTGCCAAGGGAAAACCGCGTGTTGGAAGACACGGAGAAGGATTTCACTCGATGATTGGACCCTAGTCGTCGAGTAAACTCCCCCCCTAATGCATTGCCACTGATAAAGCGACTCCTTCCAGATGGGATTTTCTTCTTTTTCTCAATTTCGCTACTTATAAAAGCATCCGCCACTTTGTTGTGGATGCCAAGGAGCTTTAAAAATTCGTTGCACTTCACTGCCTTCCGGTAGCACTTGAGATTCATCCGATACTTGCCATCGTCGCAGAGCATGCTCAGTGATTTAAAGGTGTAACTTATTTGACTAATTAGGATTTTCTCCTGCGTCCCCAGAAGCTGTTTCTTAATATCATTTATGCTTAGGACGATTTGTTTGAATTGTTCGTACGAGATGTAGTCGGAGTAGTCTCTGATTACTGGGGTGGCCTGCTCTGCCGTTTGGCCTGCCGGGCTTGCGGTTTGGCCATTTGCTCGGCCTGCCATTCCACCTGCTTCCTGCTCATCCATATCATCTGCTTCCCCCCGATGCCGGCTACTACCCCCACTGCTCCCGGCGTGCACAATGCGGTAAGACAGCTTCACCTTCTCCCGTTTACTCCCCTTCAGCATCGTGTTGATGGCAACACAAAACTCATAAAAGTCAAGATATCCATCTTCATTCGTGTCGAAAGCTTTAAAAATGGAATTGTACAGATAAGCATTCTTGATGGTCCCAAGGATACCTAAGCTTTTTTCAAAATTTTGGTAGTCCAGCCTCCCCTTGTTGCTAATCGAAGTAAATCGCTTATGAATCACTGCAATTTCTTCATCGCTCAAGTGAGTGATTTCTTTTATTTCTTTCTTCAGGTTCCAGTGTAACCCAGTGCGCACATGGGCGCTTGTGCACATCATTGGGATGGACAGGTGTTTTTTTTTTTCTATTTTATTATTTTATTTTTTTCTTTTCCGTATGCATTCGTGGGGTAAAGGAGGTAGCCAAAAACAGATGGTACCTTCTCAGACAATACACCGCTTCCAAACGGGAAGAGACACTCCTACAACGAAATTGGATCAATCGTATTGACGCTCATTGGAGTGATGGACCCCTGTTACTATAAAATGGTGAAGCGTCTCTTCCCTTGGGGGAACTCCTCCACTTGTGGGTGGGGTCTGAAAAGACTAATTAAAATCAACAAATCAACGAAACAACGAAAAAACGAAAAAACGAGAAAAAAAAAAACTAAATAGGGCACACTGAGTAGCAGTGGCAGACAGAAAATCAATCGCCTTTACGTTCAACTTCGCGCGGGTGAGAATTGGCCAGAGGCGGGGAACCTCTCTTCTGTTATCTCCGATTTGGCTTCTTCGGATTCGACTGCCCCTTATTTGGCTGCTTCCAATTTGGCTACCTCCTATTCGGTCTCTGCTTTCCTACTGCCGCACGCCCTCTTCAGGGCTGAGGTTCTCCCAAATGGGGCCACTTCCACTCAAACACATGCGCCCCGCGGAGAAGAAGCGGGCACATGCGAAAGGGCTGCCTCGTTAGAGGGGGGGTTCAAATGGTGGATGTGTCACGGGTGGCGTATTCGCCCGGCGTTACAATACAGAGAAAAAAAAAAAAAAAAAAAAAAAAAAGAACAAATGGATGACCAAATGGGTGAACAAACGAAGCCGGAACTCTGGAATGAAGAAGACTCACGACATGTCGCTCCTACTTCCACAGCTCCGGAACTCAGGCGCGTGGAGGCCTACTCGGGGCGCATACTGTGGAGGGGAAACTGTGAATAGCGCATAGTGAAACACAAACTGGTTGGCACAGGCATGGTCGGCACAAGCTGGTCGGCACAAGCTGGTCGGCACAAGCTGGTCGGCACAAGCTGGTCGGCACAAGCTGGTCGGCACAGACTGGTCACCACGAACTTCGCGGAAGAGATGAGACGAGCGCCAACGTATTTCAAAGGGTCGCGTGTAGAGTAAAGCAAACACAACGCGCGGGCGATATAATAGAAAAAACAACAAATCAGGGAAATCGCGAAATCGGCGAAGCGCGACAAAATAAAACGCGGGCGAAACAACTCCTTCAGGCATTCATTTAATTATGCCTTTATTTGTTCAATCGTACGATCGTTTTTTTTTTTTTTTTTCTTCTTTTCATCAGCGAGTATGACGCAGTTGAAAATTCACCTAAGTGCGCATTGGTTCCCTGGCGAGAAAATACAGAGGGGTTATTACGCCTCGGGCGTTTCCTTTCTCCTTCACTACTCGGGTGTGGCCTTAAAAAACAAAAAAAAAAAAGGGGGGGGTCGAATCTTCCTTGGAGGCGTTCCATTCGGTTGCCAACTCTTCGTAAAGCATTGTTCAGTCATGTTCAGTGGATGCTACATTTTTTTTCGTACCGCTTTGCTTCGTTCTGCCTTGCTTCGTTCTGCTTTGCTTCGCTGGGTTGGAGCTCTTATTTTTTTCGCGCTTATCTTTTTGCCCCTTTTTTTTTTCCCCCTTTTTTTTTCCCTTCATTTTGTCCCATCTTTTTCCCCTTCTCCCCAACCAGGGGTCAGCAACAGCACGAACATCCTTCATCAGAGGAAAAAAAAAGAAAAAAAAAAGCAACCACCGCTTTCCCTTATGCCGGGATCTCCCATCCTGGTCGCCGCACTTGGCGTTAAAATTGCGCAGACCGCCCCTGCAGTTGGCACGCCGCCCAGCAGTCGTCTAAACCCCAGACGTTTAAAAATGTTGGATTTGGGGGGAGTTCCCTCAGTTGTCCTTATGAACAGCTCAATACCCATTCGGAGTGAAGTGGACTGTCCGATGGGATTCACTACATTTGCGGTGTCATTAAAGGGAGAGCATGTCAGAGCTGAGACAAATTTAAAGTTCCTGCCCAATCGAAATGATAAAATCGATCGGTGTTGTTTCTCCGAAAGGGGAAAAAAAAAAAAAATAAAATAAAAAATAAAAAGCACCCAAAAAGGGGAGCTATCAAATAGATGGAAAAACAAACGCGCGAATGGCGGTTGGGTCTTCCTCTTCTTCCTCTCCACAGTGGTTACAGAGAAAGAAATGGAGGCGAAATGCACTCACGTATAGATGCTCATATGGGTCTACACACGTGTGCACCTTTGCCCGTTCGTCTGTCCGGGTGACCGCTAGGCCGAGTATCACAACACCTTCTTCTTCAAAATGGCGATGCTCGTGACGTGCGTCCCATCGTCCTTCTCCAGTCTCATCAGCACGTCGACATCCTGCGGGGGGAGGAAGTGTGTTGTAGGAATGTCTTTCCGCGTCAGAGGTAGCACGAAGAAGGCACGCAAGTGCCAAGTGGTACACACGAGATGCGGCTGCCCGCACAGTGACATGCTTCCGCGCGCTATACTCACCCGTATGTAGAGCCGAACACTGGCGAGGATACGCGACAGTTCACTCGTACCCTCGTGCAGCCCCGCAGTCGAATTCAGCCTCGCAAAGTAGGCACTTAACAGTTGCACCAGCGAGCGACCCATCCCAGCGATCCGATTACACAGATACAATTTTACGTGATCACTCCGTTTGCATTTATTCATAATATGGATTTTTAAAAGCTCCAGGCAATCCTCCTCAAACAAGGAGACATCCCTTCGCTCGATTTTTATGGCCACGTTCAACTTCCGTCTGGAACGCAGAACAAAGGAAAAGCCAAAGTCCACGTGGTGTCTGTAAACATGTCCTTTGTTCACTTGGAAGCAGGAGCTGTCCTCCAATGTACAATATTTCATTTTTAAACTCATCACCAGGGTTTTTCTCCCCATTTGTTTTTTCATCACTGCTCCTCTGTGTGATAATAACCCCCCTTTTATTTTATTTTTTTTTTTTTTTTCTTCCTTGGGGAGGCCCCGTAGCGCTGTTGGCTAGCTGGTGTATCCTGTGGAACGCGGGGGCATCAGCAGGTTCCTCCGCTGGGCGTTCCACCCGTGTGCCCTCGTTTCCTTTGCGGGTAGCGTCCCCCTCCACTAAGCTTCTTTCATGGACTACTCTATCGTCTGCACCGTCTCCACCGCTTCCAGCGTCGCCTCCCTCACGACGCGCACCCCAGGACACATCCGTTTCGTCTTCCCCCACGGGGCTCTCCTCGAACCCTTTGCAGACGGCTCCTCTCCTGGCCCGCTTCTCCTCGCTCACCGCTCGGATGCGGAAGGCTATTTTGTTCGCCCTGTGGGTGGCAGCCTCGCGCGAGATGGCCTCTGCCGATTGGTTTCCTCCGATGCCTTCCTCCTTCGCGTTGACTCCGCGGAAGTCCTCCTCGTTCGAGTTAACTACTCTCATCTCTTCCTCCTTCGCATTCACGTCGCCCAAGTCTTCCTCTCTCGTTTCCACACCTATAATGTCATCCTCCCCCTCCGCCATGAAATCCCTCAAGCTCTCCACAACACTGCCGTAGTAAAAGCAGTCGGCAAGGAAGACATTCCGCGCACACTTCACCACGCAGCTCCTCTTCCCTTCCAAATATTTGTCAAATATATCTTCATCAAAAAAAATGGCATTATTGATTCTTCTTTTTCTGCTTCTAAACGGCTTCACTGTAGGTTCTTTGGGAAGTCCTTCTTCAATGGGTCTCAACTTCTGCTTCTGATTCCACGTGCGGGGGTCCTTCAGCAAAATTCTGAAATTTGTATCTTGTGGGTGGTCCGTCGCGGCACTGTCTCGTCGTACCCCCTTGTCGTCTAGATTCACAACCCCTTCTAGCTTCTCCCCCGCCTGCAATTTCTCCATCTTCCTCACCTCCTCGCGACGCTCCCTCAACGCAGCCTGGTACTCCTCCCTGAACACATAAAACGGCAGGCTCCGATTATTCAGCTTCTTAAACCGATTCAGGTTCACCTCTCTCGGGCTCGAAACCTTCGCTTGGCTTTTCTCCTTTAGCTCTTTCCAGTCTATACCCCTCATGGTGCACAACTCCTCAAAGGTTACGCGGTTCGCCAATAGGTACTCTACCCACATGGTGTATAGACAGCTCAACTTTTTCTTCTTCTTCGTCATGTTTTTGAAGAATTCGATGTAGCTCGCCAGACTAACAGGAGGGATACTCGTTGTGGGCGCGGTAGCAGTGGGAAGCGCGGTAGCCGTGGGAGGCATCCTAACCGTGGTAGGCATGGTAGGAGTTGTAAGCGACTCCCCCCCCGCGTAGCCTCCCTGCTCGTACGCCTGCACAATCCTCCTTTTCCACTTCCGCCACACATTTGAAGCCCTCTCCTGTGCCCGTTTCGCCGCATCTACGATGTACTGATTCTGTAATATGTCTGGGTTGAAGTCAAGGCAGTTCTGAAAAATCAATTTTAGGTCCTTGTAAAACTCCGATGGATTCTGGTACACCCCAAGGTCAAGATTTCTCGACACAGTCGTGTAATCCATTGGCTTCTTTATCTTATTTTTATATTCGCTCCTTATTTGGTCACTTATATTTTTATCCTCCAGCACCGGGGTAGTGAAATACAACGCCGTGTTGCTGTCTCTGATGAGGCTCTGCAACACGTGGTCCCTGATTAATTTCTTCCACTCCTCGGAGAGAGGCTCTACCGCTGCTATTTTGGCGGCTACTCCGGGTTCTGCCCCGGCTGCTACGGCCCCCTTCTCGGGCGAAGTGGCACAACTCGTGCCGCTACCCCTCAGGCTGGCCCCCCCGCTCCGATTATCCTCGTCCCCCTTGCTCACTGTCACAGCATCGTCCAGGGAGAATCCACTCAGGCGCAATCGAACTCTGAAGGGCTTATTGCTCCCCTCCGCGGGCTTCTTCCCCCCGAGGAGCCTACTTGCTTCCAGGCTAAAGGATGGTGAGCTTGGCCTCTTGTTCGTGTCTTCGTGGTCAGCTCTGCCCCTGGCAGGACAAGCCTCCTCTAACCTCTTCCCCTCCAACTGCTTCCCTTCCAACTGCTGCCCCTTCAACCGCTGCTCAGCACCACCGCCACTCCCCTTTAACTTGGGTAGGGTCTTCCCCTGCTTTGTCTTCGCCCCCAAGGCTGCCTTCTCCTGTTCCCTCTTCTTCTCCTCCTCCTTCTTCTTCTCCTCCTTCTTCTTCTCCTTCTTCTTCTCCCGCTCCTCCAATTCTGTCCTATTTGACTCCAGAAGCAGCTGCGCCAAGTACTTCTCCTCCTGTTCACGCAGCTCCTTCTGTGTGGAGGAAAATTTCTTCGCTTCCTTCGTGCCTCTCATGGAGAGAAGCAGCTTGTAGAACTCCCCCTCGTAGGTCATCCAAGCGTTGCATCTAAGTTGGTACAGATTCTGTTTTTCTTTTGGGTTCTTCTCCATTTCTATGGCTAGTCTTATTCTGTCAAATATGACGAGCATATCTCGATGGAACTCGTCTTCCCCTTTGTAGAAGTCATAATGGAGTTTGTTGTAAATCACGTCTAAGTTCACTCTCTGCAAGAAGAGCCCGTTGTTATTCTTCTGTCCCTGTGCATCTGTGGTTTCTTTTCCCTTTTGGCTAGTTACTTCTCCTTTGATAACATCCACCCCTGCTTTGGTACCTGTCCCTGCTGACTCATTTCCTTCAAATTGAATTCTATACTCTTCGTCCTGATCCCCAATCCGTTGAAACCCCTGCTTCTTCTTCATCACGTCAATAATTTGGGACAACCTTCTTTTAATGCTTCGGTTGAGTGGCGACTTGGATGCTCCTTCCTTCGTTCCTCCGATGACTGAAACTCCTGCATCTATCTGTTCATTCCATTCGACAGTGCTACTCCTGTTGATGCTATATTTGGCTCTGTTACTTTCGAGTTCTTCTGAATTGATATTTTTGATGAGATGGCTATCTGGGATGGGTTCGTCTTCCGCTCCTCCCTCCCGATTCTCCTTCCACTTTCCCTTTCCTTGCGAGGAGGCATTCTCACCCGAGAGGGAGTTATTCACACTGATGGACGACACGCTGTGTGCCCTTTTCTCATTTGTCGCGTCGACTACCGTGTCGCTTGTCTTACCGGTTGCCTTCCCGACAGCCCTCCCAACTGTCGCACCTCCTTTCATTTTTACTTCGATGGAAGGGGTTGTCCCTTTCGCTCTCTTCGCGTGGGCGGCGTTTTTCCTCTTGTCGACGGGGGTTCCCAGATCGGGTGAGTCTTTACTTCGGGAGCGTCCGCTTCGAGAGCCTCCGCCCGGAGAGCGTGCACTTGAAGAGCCCTTACCTGGAGAGCTCTTACTTGGAGATCCCTTACCTAGAGATCCTTTTCTTGGGGTGGCCCCACTCGGTTGGATAGCCTCCCCCCCAGCCTTCCCCCCCTTAATATTTCCTCCTTTCCCACTTCTGCTGCCACCCCCTCCCTTGTCTTCCCTCTTAACAGAATCGTTCTGTCTGGGTCCCTCTTTTGATCTCCCCCTCCTTAGGGAGTATTCCCCCCCGTTTTCCTCCTTCACTCCTTTAATGCCACTTCCTGAGATACCTCCTGTCCCATCCTTTCCCTTCCTACTCCTGCTCGTTGAACCGTTCGCCCCGTCCTTTTCGCTCGTGACGCTACTCCTTTTCCTTAATAGCATTCCCCCTCCCTTCACATTCCTCTCACTCCTATTATTCACTGAGGTCACATCTTTACATTCACTTGCTGCGTCTGCCGTGGTGATGTGCTTCGCCTCCTCTAGTGACTTCTTCCTCTGTGTGGCTTTTCCCTTCGTGGCTTCCACACGATTGGAACCATCCTTCCCTGTCTTGTTCCCCTTCTTGGAGAATTCCTCTGGTTCGTTCGTCCCATTTGACATGTCCTGCTCGGCGACCCCTTCCAGCTGCCCATCCCCACGTTTCCCCCCTGCGTGTCTTTTAATGCCCTTCTTATTTTTGTCACTCTGGGAGGTCTTCTTCCCCTTTTGTTCCTTCTCCTGTTCTCCACTTGCCCCTTTGTTGGCGTCCTTATTCGCCCCTCCACCAGCGCCTTTCTTTGCATCCTCTTTCGCCTTCCCCCCTCCCTTCGTTTTGGGCTCCTCCTTCGCTTTTGGCTCCTCCCTCTCTATGGACGTGTTCCCCCCCCCGGGTTCTTCCTTCAGGGGATTTCCTGCTCTGATCCGTAAACTCCGTCTCGTCTCCATACCTTACGAGGTGTATGTTCTGGGGAGGGGGCTTACAAACAAGGGGAATCCACCAACAAGGGAAATCTCCCAACAAGGGAAATCTCCCAACAAGGGGATCCTCACCTCCCTTTGCGCCGTCCCCTTTCACCTGAACAGGCAAGGCGAAACGTAATTCTACCTGACTTCTCTCCCCCCTTTGCAATTTTCTCGGAGTAATCTTCCTGCTCCTCCCAGGTGCAGACACTTCGTCGATTGGAGAAGGGGGGTAGTAAATTAAGTCCCCCAAGTGCGTGTACCCTCCGCGGATCTTCAAGTATATATGTGAAGTGTTCCCCTAAAGGGATAGCGCACGTGGAAGAACCTTCCCCCCCTGTGTTTTGTCGTGTGAAGAAGTGACTCGACAGAGCGGGGGGTCCAAAAATGAGTCTTTTTTCCACCTTCGGTGATCTTCCCGCCGAGGGTTGGGTCAGCTTGTGGATGCCTTATCACCCCCACGATCTGCTGCTCCAACGATCTGCTGCTCCAACGATCTGCTGCTCCAACGATCTGCTGCTCCAACGATCTGCTACTCCAACGATCTGCTACTCCAACGCTCTACCACTCAGCTGCACCTGCAGGATGGATCCATGTCCTCCCCACGGTAGTGGGTGGTCTCTCCACTTATAGTAGCTGCCCATCAGGGAGGTTAACAAAATAACTGTTTCGCAATTTATGCAATTTGGCTAGCTATAAAAAAAAAAAAAGAAAAAGAAGAAGAAAAAGGAAAAGAAAAAGGAAAGGGAAAAGACTTATTTATTTTTTTTCTTTTTCAACCCGCACATGTACGTTTCTTCTCTTCAATTGTATCTCCCAGAGCGGCCACGAAGTTTCAGTCCCCCCGTTACCACAGTTTTAGTGGAAGTGAAACCGGAATGGCAATTTTCTATTTTGTTGCTTTCCCCCGCTCTATTCATCCCGCTTGGGCGGCTCCGTCCTACCAATCTTGCGCCACGTACGTATGTATGTATATATGATGGTATGTATTTTTTCTTTTTTTTTTCCCCCTTGGCAATTTGGCCCTCCCCGCAGCGCACGCCTCGTTCGATTCAAACGTTGCCCTTCCCTCCCGTCGGCTAATAGTATGGCATAGCGTATAGCAAGTGGGTTTTATTTATTTTCTGTGCCTTTTAATTTCCCTCTTCTGTGGCTTTCTTTTTCCCCCTTTTGTGGCTTTCTTTTTCCCCCTTTTGTCGCTTCCTTTTTCCCCCTTTTGTCGCTTCCTTTTTCCCCCTTTTGTCGCTTCCTTTTTCTTTTCTCCCCCCATGGGATACGCCCAAACAACCACCTGAGCGCGGAGACAACTCTCGAAGCTGCTTCTCTCTCTTTTCCTTTCCCCTCCAGCTGTCCCCAGCATGGCGGAGGTGACCTTCTGTGAAGAATGCAACAACATCTTATATGCACGCAGTGATCGGAAGAATAAGAAGCTGCTCTACGTATGCCGCAGTTGCGACTACATCTCACACAAGCCGAACGAGCAGCAGAACATCGTGGCGAGGATTAACTACAACTACAACAGGAAGTGAGTGCCGATGGCGGTGGGGCGGCCAAGTAGTGAAGTGATGAGGCGGCCAAGTGTTGAAGTGATGGGGCGGCGCAGCAGGGGTCAGCAGCCGCTCCCCCCACCAACAGGTCGTTCAGAATGGCTGTACCTTCCCTAAGCATCGCTCGTCATGTGCCCCCGCCCCCTAAGAATAGCTTCCTTACTGACTCTCATATATAACCACCCCGCCTCCTCTTCGCTGCTCTCTCACCCCCTTCCCTGCAGAGAGGACGTGTATATCCATCCCGAAACGAAGAACGACCCCGCGCTGGGACGTGTGCGCGAATGGATCTGCAAAAACTGCGGGAACAACGAGGCCGTCTTTTTGCAGCTCCCAGAAAGAATCAGTTCCAACCCCATGGCACTCATCTACGTGTGCACAGGAAAGAACTGCCACTACTGGGAGAAGGAGATACAATTCACCAATGATGAGGAAGACCCGTTACATAGAAGTAGGCGATCTTCCGAAGCCTCCCACGTGGATCATCTGAACCCGTCTGTAAAACAGGAGGGGGGCAACGCGCAAGGTATTATTCCCGTCCAGGGACAAAAACGGAGTCGAAAAAAGATTATGAGAGGAAGACAGCATCACGACGATAGTGATGAGCCAGATGGAGAAGAACACGACGGGGAAGAACACGAAGGGGAAGAACACGAAGGGGAAGAACACAACGGGGATGGACCCCAGGGAAACAGCCTCGATGACCGCGACGAGAAGGAGGAAGACAAACTGAAGAAGGAGCTGCAGGAGTTAATAGACGCCAAGGACGAGGGGCAGCTGCAACCAGGAGATCAGCACAGCGAACCGGGCGACTCTGCCGACGAAAATGAAAGCGACGTGGAGGATTACTTCTGAGGGGGTTAAGCGGCGGGGCGAGGCGAGAAGCAACACAGTTCCATCGCTTCAAATCGCTTAACCGCAAACGGCCTCGCCACCCATGGCGCCATTTTTTTTTTGTGTTCCCCTAAAGAAGCCTTCAC